CGCGGCCGAACCGGGGCTGGAAGAGGGGCCTCACCTGGCCGTGGTCAAGGAGCGACTGCAGCACAAGGGGCGGCTTTGCCCGTTCGCCAGCCGGCACCCTCCTTGTCCCGGGTTAGACGGCAGTGGACGCCGACACCCTTTGTTGACGTGTAGCCGCCTATGAGGCTCTCCTTGGTTTGTTTTCTACCACACTCAGAGTAGGACAAAACAAGCTACAAAAGTCGTCAGTTTTTACGTGGAGTCGATACGTACCCTGTTGCACGTTGCTTGTTGATAGTAGCGTAGGCAACGGTGGCGTTATAGCATGCCAGTGGGGCGGGGGGGGGGCGGCGGGGGGCGTTTGACCGAAAACCGGGGATGTCGTGATTCTGTCCCCTGGCGACTTCCTTTTTTTTTTTTGCGATATATATTTCTCATTCATGTCTGAATGCTCCCTCCAAATTTTATGTCGTGGGAATGTATGGACAGTCCAGAATAGACTATCCAGGGTTAGTGGTGTACGGGGCTAATTCTTGCCGTGGCGGCACGCAAATACCGAAAATATACCCATTGTTGAACAACCATTTTTTGACCGTAACAACTCCTTTCGGTGTGATTTTTTTTTTCGTGGTCGGCTGTTGACAGGAGCAACCCGTTTATGCCCAAGCCTATTATTCTTATGAGGAGTGGCCAAAATCGGGTACACCCGCCCCCAATCCGGCCATTATCGGGTACACTTGTTTCTCACAGTCGGCAGCGCCCTCCTGGCGCCATCTGATTGGCCGACGCCCGCCCCTACCCGGCCCTGACCCTATTCCCACCGGGTGCACCCGATCTTGGCTACTCACCCCCCGGAGGGGTACCCGATCTTACTCTCGCCTACCCGAAAATGGCTGGGCTATTCGACCAACAGACCACCAGCAGACCACGCTCACGAACACACGTCACCAACACCCCGCACTCGAGTTCCGACGCTTCCGACGGCGGGCGGAGGCGGACCTAACGCGGCTAACGCGGCGGAACTCTCGTTTGAAGTGGATCTCTCTCCTCAAGACTCCTCCTGCAACCCAGCGCCGATGACGGAACTCTTTCGGTTCTCGTTTCGTATCGGAGAGGGAGGAGAGCGAGGGCCAAGCGGGCGGCGGTGGATGAATACCTCTCAATACCTCACGTGATCACTTGAGCTGCACACGAATACACGACGAGCTCAGATATGTCCACGGAAGCATCAGGCACAGAAGCATCAGGGTGTCGCTTTCGTCTGGAATACATGTATAGACACATCAAGACCGGAGATGTATGGCACGTTGTTGTGTACGCAGAGGGTCGTTCGTGCACAGCAATGCAGCAGCAGCAAGCAGTGGATGCCGTGGTTATGTCTCGATCAAGACCGGAGATATATGACACATTGTTGTGTAGGAAGAGGATCGTACAGTAATGCAGCAGCAGCAAGCAGTGGATGCCGTGGGACCTCAGATTAAACAGCGATAATACTTCCTTGACTTCGACCTCTCGTGAGTACGTGGGAGAGACAAGGAACTGCGGGCTTGCCACAGGAGATGGAGAAAGATAGAGAGAGTGGTGGTACACGCAGCATGAACGCTGTCCTAAGATGGCTGGTGGTGAAGTAGCACGCGCCTTGCGCGAGGACCGCGGTGTTCTCTACTTCATCGCTCATATTCTGCCGATGCCAGTCTACCGTTCAGGCACGAGTGCCGAGATTAACCACGAGAGACTTGGTGGGTTGAGGAGCGAGATCTACTTGCAGGAGCGAGATCTACTTGCAACGAGAGTTCCGCCGCGTTTGCCGCGTTAGGTCCGCCTCCGCCCGCCGTCGCAAGCATCGGAACTCGAGTGCGGGGTGTTGGTGACGTGTGTTCGTGAGCGTGGTCTGCTGGTGGTCTGTTGGTCGAATAGCCCAGCCATTTTCGGGTAGGCGAGAGTAAGATCGGGTACCCCTCCGGGGGGTGAGTAGCCAAGATCGGGTGCACCCGGTGGGAANTCCGCCCCCCACATCTGCGTCAATAACCCGGGGATATCCAGTTTTCATCCCCTGGTGGCACCGAAAAAAATGAAATAATTTTTCTTCACGACCATTGTGTTGGGCGCATGTGTGCCAAATCTTGGGTCTTGAAACGGTTTCAAACCCCCGCGATCAACCAATCGTCAAAATGGTTGTTAATACCCCCCGGGCCGTTATACTCTCAAGACTTCAACTTGGGCAAACGGAAACAGTTGTGCCTCTTCACTAACGACGATTTTTTTTTTTTGACAGATAGATGGTGATGTTAACTATCGTTCGATACCTAAATATCTTCGTAGTTGGTTTTACTGTCGAAGAACGAGCTTTCGGTGCGGGAGGTGGCTTAGGTGGTTGTTAATACCCGCCGCTATCCTTGAATTTTGCGTTTTTGGTTCGGTACTACAGCTAGTCTCCCCCCTTACCCAACCCCATACTGTATCTTCTGTCTGTCTCTCTCGTTCCGTCTCCCTTGGTCGATTTCACTCCATCCAGCACGGCTATATCGCTGTTTTTCGCGACAGGCCCTGGTGTGGGGGGAACGGGTGTTTTCAAGTGCACGACAAACAAACGCAGAGTGAGAGGTGGTGGCTGACGGTGGAGACATGTGACTACAATTACTGTGTACCGTACGATATATACCAGACGATCTTGCTTTGACGTGTCACGCTGACTGCAGTGGTTCCAGATACTTTGGCAGCCGTGATATAAGTACGCTGATGTTGCTGTCATTAATTTTACAGACAGGTGACATCACTGACCATCCAGAATAAATGTGACCACACAACATTTTCATTGTATTGAAGAAACATGAACAACGAACCAACCACACGACGGACGATTCGCCGAAGTGTATTTTCTCCGCCATGATGACCAAAAACACAAGCCAACCACCTTCTTAGTCCCGCATGCAGCAGCAGTAGTAGCTACAGACGGACAGGCAGGTCGAGACACTCCACGAGTCAAAGCAAAAATAACTTTGCTCTCTTCTCTCGTCTCAATTTAGACTATTACCCACATCGCACGCAGTTCTAAACCGCGCCATGCTTTCTGCTCGGGGCCGTGCCTACTTCATGCATACGGAGTACATACATGTAGTCTCGTATGCATACATTTACCAGAACAACCAAGTCTAGAGAGCTCCGATTCGGGGCCACACATCGTCAGAAATTCTTTGCGGTACTCTTTGCGGTGCACGCCTTCAATACATTCAATTTGCTGAAGAAAGAAGGGTCTGCAACACAACAACAGTCAGTCAGGGTCAGTCAGTCGTCCTTGCCTCAAATGCACTTACAAGCAACCACGAAACACATCTCTCTCTGTACCATCTATACGAAGAACAACGAAATAGTACGGAAAAAACGCGTGTCGTCGGGATTCGTTCGGTTTCCAAACCCACCGCTAGACAGATACGTTGACGAGGGAAACTAAACACTCGACCAGCATCGCGACTAGCAAAGCACAACGAGAACAAGTACAGGACGGCTCCTGCTACCAGCACACCGCACACAAAAAATGTTTCGACTGGCTCTGATGAGTAACACAAAGCCACGAAAGTTTCACTAAAATAACATGTACACGTCGCCAGAAATCATCATGTTTGATTTTTGGGTGTTTGATTTTTGAGTGCTCCGAGTAAATAATTTCACTCACAACCTGATAATTTACTCCGCATTGCACCAAAATGTTGTTTCATGGGTTTGATTGTCGCACACGCCAGCCCCACGAAAACGGACCGTACACATTAACTGTCCGGACGTACCCAACACGGCTTCGAAACAGCACACCTCCACAGACGGGAGATACCTAGCTAGATAGTCTAAGATTACTTGGAACGTGCGGCAAAGAATATACATCCACCCCCCTCCACCATTGCACACTTTAAGGCAATAGGCAAGGACACGCTACACGTCGGGCGGCACCGCCCGAACGCCTCCTGAGTCCTACGCCGCCCACCTCCTCCGGACCCGTCCAAAGACTCGCTCGCCGTCCTCAAACGGCAACGACCGCCCTGACACACTCTACCTCCCGGTTCAAATACTCAAAATGGCGATAGGCACGCACGCATTCATGCACGTCGAGCACCACCCGAACGCCTGCTACGCCCTTCGCCCCTATCTGTCTCCGAAACTGTCCAAAGGCAGACGACTCACTGGCATCAAGACCGAATCTAACCCAAAAAAAATGGCAACGACCTCCGTGACGCACTCTACGTCCCGTTCCAAATATCTCTCACAAGCAAACCGTTCAGCATTTCATTCTCTGGCGGTTGAAAGAGCGCGAGTTTTTCTCTCGACGGTCGCTGCAGAAAAAATAGTGTACAACCGCGACGACTTCTACTCTCGCAGTTTGCTGCGTTGAGCGTCTCAAGCCACCAATCAAACCTCCTCCTTTTGGGCGACTCAACCCGGGAGAAAATCGACACAATACACTCACCCAACGATAGCACACGTTGCTCCTCTCTACTGCAATGCGTTGTCGTTGTGGGCGCGATCGCCACAGCTCATGATCATAAATCGTTGTACGACAAGAGAGGCCACCTGGAATACAAAGCGCCGCACCGCAGCACACTGTAGCACTGAGTGTTTTGGCGCTGCGCTCCGATCCGCCCGTTGTTGATCCACCCGCGCTATGGAAGAGTCCATGACCTTCCGTCCCCTACTCCACACTTCGCTGGGCGCTGCCATGGGTGTGGGAGACACGAACGGATAAGCGCGTAGTAGGTAAATCTTGGTAGGCTGCCTTGTTTTCGCTGCCACTCTTATGTCTGGGGTATGTATTCATCTATATTCTTCAAGGCTGTCGTACAAAACCTACATAAAAACATTTAGCCCCCAATCCAAACGACCAACAAGAAACGGGCTCGAAAATATGAGTAACGAGAACAACCTCGGTCTATCCGCTGCTTACTGGCCTCTTTCCACACCGGAAGGTCATACACAGGTAGGTATTTACACCGCGTGCGAGTTCTCCGCATTAGTGATTGGTCAAGAGGACAGGGCTATCCGTTGCTCCAAAAGGGCGCCTGTATCATGCGTTCACTGTGTATGTACCTCTCGAGTTCCCAGTGCCACCATGTTCGGCCCGAAAGGACTATAGACATTCCTCGTCAACGGGTAAGGGGGAAAACTAACGCGAAAAATGTGTCCGAAAACGGTGTTGGATGCGTTAAGGACGCGCGAAATTCTCGTAAGACCAGCGCCTGTCGAAACTAGGTAGTTCCTCCCTGGAATCTCGCAAAAACAACACAAAAATACACACGAGGAGGTAATGCCGCGATAACCTCATCCTGCACGAGCAACCTTGTCGGAGGATTCCGCCGACGAGAAGGCGTTTAACGTTATCCGGCGCGCCACAGGCCACGCCTGTTCACTCCAAGCTAGGGCTGCCACTGCGCATTGAAACAACACGCTCCCTTGCCCTACCGTTACCAAACCCTCAACTTGTGTCCTCGTCCAAACTCGTCGGCAGCCCTTCTGTGGAGGGAGCACGCACACCAGTGTAGACGTGTTTCTGCTTTCTTTCAGGCTGCTTATTTTACCCTTTGTCAAGCTACTAGACTGGCGTGTTTTCATTGGTCAGCCTGCTACCACCGCGCGGTCGATCCTTATTCAAACAAAACACACAAGCAAGCACGCAAGGCTGCTGCAAGAGAACTCACCAACGACGTGTCCACCCGCGCCGCTGCTATGGGGTCTTGAACGTTCCCCGTATTCGGCGGAACGGGATGATGATCATTCTCGAAACCGACTTCGACCTCTCGCCCATATCAGCCAGAAACGAAGGTCTCCTAGCGGTCGACTCTTCCCTGCTGTCATACAGCAATACCTCCAGATCGTGCACAGAATTGCCAACGCCGCCCTCCTCAGCTTTGAAACCATCACAACCGGTAACCAGCCCCCGCTCACCATCACTCCCCCCGTGGGTGACACCATCGCCGCCGGTACCGCTGCCTCCTGCGGTCTTGTCAGCGGCAGAGCAGCGACTACCGTCGCCTTGATCGCCGCGGGCGAAGGCGACACAGCGGTCCTCGAATCGAGAAGGCGTTACCGTTGGCGTCAAGGACGGCGTCGCCACCGCCGCCGCCGCTGGCTGAGCGGTCTGCGTGGCCCCTCCACACCCCGCGGACGTGCCGCTCGCCACCCGATCTCGACTCTGGGCAGCGCAACGCCTGAGGACGGCCTTAACGTTGGGCGGGACGGAGAACGCGACCTCGGCGTCGTTTTCGTTGTCACTCTCGCTCTCGACCTGGACACCCTGATGGTTGGACCTCCGGCTTGAAGCCGACGTTCTCGCAAAAGTTCTGGGAAGAAGCTTTCTGCTCAGGGTGGAAGCTGTCGTCGGGGAAGCTCTGGGCTCCGCGCCGCTTAAAGCTGCAGCGGGTGCATGGGCGACGACGCGGAAGGGATCGTTGCTCTCGCCCGTTGCGGAGAAGAAAGGGGTCCATTCCTTTGAGCTGTTGCAGTCTTGCATCGATGCGCCTGGGAGAGATGGCAGGCGCAAGGGCAGAAAAAGGATTGCACGGCACCAAAACTTATTCAATTTTCGTAAAAGTGCGGCACCTACGGACCCATCACTTCTATGGTGTCTCATACACACAGCAGCATCATCAGTGCTGCGCGTATTCACGACACGAAGCAGGGGAGAGGGGTTGCCCGTGACCGAAGGCACTGGTTAACCGCAAAATGGTTATTCTGGCCATGTGCGTGAATGCACACCCGGCACGCGAGAGGGGCCGAGACTTACCGATGTCAGCACGGCTGTCGAGCACGGTCTGGACCGTTGCGCAATCATCATCGCCAACTCCGCCTCCCCCCGAACCTCGCTGCCTTCCCTCATACGCGAATGCCGCAAGCAACTTGCTGTCTCGAGTCCTGTGGGCCAGCGTTGAAGCGAAGGTAGGTAGTGCTCAACGAAGGACGGAACAGAGGTGGTAGGGTTGTACATTGTAGGCAGGCAGGGCCTGCAGCCGCAGGGGGGTCTTCCCTCTGCTAGCGTTTTTCTGCTGCGGGACGCCAGTAAATGTCATCCTCTTGAAGTGTCAAAACTTCCCGCAATATTCATGCAGCCTTGGTGCACACAAACAGCAACACCATATGTATGCTCCACAGGGCCGAACTGCAGAGGTCGAGATGTAACGGTACGCTTGGAGCATATATTGCGTACAATAACGGATTTGTGGCGCCGGACCGATCTCAAACGAGTGGGTGAGGCTCCGTTAAGAATTTTTTTATCCCGAACTCTTACCTGTGCCCAGGTATAGAGACCATCTAAATGGTTGCGTTTTTGTAGAATAATAGGCACTCGTTTCCTCTGGCGCTTCCTCTACGACTGGGATCTGGGATGCAATATGCACATGTGCGTTGGTTCTAAATCGTCGCATGCAGTGGACGGTCTTGAATACTACGCATCTACGTTATTAGGAGAAGCTTTCCCGGAGCCGAGAATCGTTTTCGAGTCTGTGTAGACTACTTCGGTACAGTACTTGTCAGAACCGCAACGCGCTCCGCACCCAACTTCGCTACGTTCTTTCCCGCCCCTGTCAACCCTGTATGTCTCCCGGCTCGAGTCCAATTCAAGCGCGGGCTAGTAGTTGTGCTTCATGGCTTCGATAGTCCTTGCCTCCCCCCACGACCCCAACCCCGGATATTGAGCCCCCGTCGAATCTATGATCCGACCGTGCATTGTTGCAAGGTTTATTTCGCCAAAAATAGTAACCCTCCCGTCTCTCGTACTCTGACCAATCAACCACTACCACCACCACTATTCTTGCCGGGCTTTGGATATAAATACTTCAATGCGTCCACACATTCAGCAGATGGATAAATGAGTCTGTTATGCAGAGGTTAGGTGCACCGCCCGCCACACCGACCGTCCACACTTGCGTGGCGAGCATTATTATATATATGGACTATAAAGAAGTATATATACTTTTTCTCCTATCATGGGACTCTGTCGTCTGCCCCTCTGGCCCCTATCCTCCACTTCTACCAGCTAGACGACTCAACCAGGGTCACACAAGATTTTTTTTTTTTCTATTATGTGATGCTGTGATTCTGTCAACCAAAAGACCAAGATACACAAGACCGAGAGAGAGACCAGGTCGATGCTGATGATGTCGTCACAGATTCATACTCTGTGGCGCGCACTAAGCATATACCGCGCACTAAGCATATACAGATGCCCTTCGGATGAGCCAACGATGATGTAGATGCCCCTGCCTGCCTTCACATGATTTCATGCGGTGAACGCGCGATGCGTCGACTCTTTGCTGTCTCCGGTCTTCACTCCAAAAAGTCGAATTATCCAAATTGAACTGCCTGTGCACCAGCCGTGTCTCGTGCCCAACAGGGGGAAAAGATAGGCAGCTTCTTCGGATGGCTACGGGATTAGAGGGTGTGATCTACATATAGGAATTGCTGTCTCCTTCGCTCCTTTCGGAACACTGCGTGCGTCGAACTTGTGCAGTTCGGTTGCACGCAACAATGGCGGGTATCTGCAAGTCGCTCGCTGGTGAGCCGATAATTTTTTCCAGGGTTGCTGCGGGGCCTAAAACGACAGCAGAGCAGCCAAACTATAGTCAGTTTCTTTCCTCGGAGAGAGCAACGATTACGGGCTGTCCGAACCCACCTCTGGCCATGGTCGCTGAAATTTTCAGGCCATGTGTGGAACATGGTCATGTGTGAAGGTCGAAGGGCGGGGAATGAGGTCCCTGCCTCTCGTGCTGCTGCTGGGGGGGTGAAAGACGAAGGAATGCATGAAATGCTGCTGCTGTATCCTCCGTAAAGAGTCGAAAAGAATGGTAAGGAGAGTCCAAACGTTCGCGGTTGCGCCGCATATTTTCATTTTTTTTCCATTCTGCAATCCGAAATTCCGAGATTTCTGAGGGGTGATCAGCACAACATGGTGTGCATAGCATAACATACATGCTAGCGGATTCATGTGTACGAGAAGATCTGTACAAAGATTCATAATTGTTTGTGGTGGTGTGTGTCATCCCATCAGCGAATTGGAGCTGCATGCGTAGACTATTCATTTGTCGTGTCGGCAGGGGATTACTAGGCTTTTCCCCCGTAGGCGATTTCGATACACTAATTTTTCTTGTGCTCTATTTTCAGTACAGTTGGCGCCCGCAGTTAAGAAACGCTTATTTCAGGTCCAGCCTCGAATTCTTTTTGTGGGCTATATACTCAGCGTATGTCTTTCAGTTTCATATTCCAAGTTTCTTATTTGCTCGTGCAGCCAAATCCTGCTGAATTTCTTAAATCGGCAATTTCTTATTTCTCTGCTTGCATGCTACACAACGTTCCAAATATACAAATGATTTGCACTGCTTTCCTCGACCCCCGTACTCAACCCCGATTCTCACTACCGACGGCTGCACGTAAGGCCACTCCCTAGAAGAGAAATGTATCCAGCGGCAACGTCTCGCTATCGCTACAAGGTCCTGTACCCCCCTCATGAGTGAGGGCTGAAACTAAACAAATGCATAAACACCGCATGGTGCCTCACCCGCACGCTGACGTGCCAACAAGGAAAACTACCCCGTCATTATGTTGCAAGCTCCGTGAGGCGAACATTGGGGGTAGTCACCCTTTTGCGCCTCCTGCTCCCTTCCTTTGGGTCTATCTCTAGGAGAACCCACGCCCCAATTCCGACGTCTTCATCCGTGCTGTACGACTCCAACGGCATCGTCATGCTAAATTTACGCGTGCTTTCGTCACAGTGCAGGATGACGCGGTAGTCGTACTCCTGCCACGAAGCGGGTGAGAACTGCGACTAATTACCCCTCCGAACCAACCTAACCCGAGTTTCACGAGAACCCCACGCTTCACTATGGGAGGGGGGGGTCGGGGGAGAGGGGGAAAGAGCGAGAGAGCTGTGGGGTTTGTTTCTTATTCGACACACTCCCCCGTAAAACCCTCGTTTCTTATGTAGTAGCGCAGCGGTCGCCGCTGTGTTTCTTATTGAGACATTTCTTATTGTGTGACCCAGGTTGAGCTATGTTTCTTCACCCTATTTTCTTATTTTTCGTGAAAAAGTGAGCCTCAATTTCTTAACAACACATTTCTTAACTGCGGGCGTCAACTGTATAATAGCCAAACTCGACCACAAAAATACGAGCCGATCGCCTACGGGGGAAGAGCCTAGGGATTACAGACAGGAGATGATCTCGAAGTCAACTTCCTACAAGCTCGCAGTGTAGCTTGTAACGCTGTGCGGTGACATTAGATTTCGTCGCGGGAAGGATTCGGTCAGCTGTTCATGTCCATCCCTCGACGGCGACCGTGGAGTCGAAAGACTATATTTCGAGAAATCCCGCTTTGTGTGCCGGCGAGGAGAGGTACCAGACATATTTTTCGAATTGAAGTCCAACTAATAGGAAGGTGTGCGAGGTTTATTGCTCTATCCGTGGACACAATGAACGATGGATACAATACAATCGTATGGGGGAGTACGTCAGTCGAGAAACGGCCTTTCTTGGATCTGATGATGATGGTGATACAGAACGCGCCGGCAATCGGCTACATACAAAAGAGTGTGGGTGTCCTTCCCGCTCAAAGAACGAACCAGCTCTACCTGGTCAACCGTGCCGCCCCCGAGCAACCCCCCCAAGCCAATCACGGCTTTCGGGTCTCTACTGCTACTTCTTCACCAACGAGAAATTGGTCCTGGGCGCGCTCTGGTCTTCTTGTTGCTCGAGTTGTCACCATACATAGCGGTGGCGGATGATCAACTCCCACTGAAGACGTTGATTCATCGTTCCTTGTTGTTGGCACATTGGAAGTCACTTGTTCTGTCACAGAAGAGACATCTTTCTCGCCGAACGCCTTTTATTCACTTGTCCACTCAAGTCCGAGGTTGCCAACGTCTACGACCTACACGCTGATAAGCATGGGGAAAGCCGACATACCCCAGAGTCGACTCCCCTCCCCCTTGGCAGAATCTATATCATAGGCTGAGAAACAATCCCACAACAACGCATGCTGAGAACCATCCCCAAACAACCGCAAGTGGTATTTAACACCACAACAACAACCAACCTTGCTTGGGGTACCTACTTTCAAGGATTTTCTTGCAGCGGACATATCTCATCTACACCCCGCCGGTCCCAAGGACACGACAAGGCCTGCCCAGACTGTTCCCCCTGGCTCCGCAGCTTGTCCACGCACACGCTGCACGCCGAATGTTGGCAAGGCTTCATCACCGTGTCGCAGGCGTTTCGGCAACAAAGTCTGCACGTCAACCTCGTCGTCTTGCCGCCCCCAACCCCATCGCCCCGCGCCTCAGATTCGATTCCTGCTACTTGCGCCGCCGACCTCGCCCCCGCTCCCTCGTGCACTTTCGGCTCCTTCCTTGTTTTGTGCGAGGAGAACGCTTTGGCGAGGCTTCGTCGTCGTGGCTTTCCACCCCTCGCTTTTGACGACCCGCCGCCGCTGCCGCCCCCGCCAGCTTCCGCACCCGCTCCACCCCAGGCAAGAGAATACTCGAACCGCTCGTCGTCTTCCTCCTCCGAAAGACGCAGCTGCAGCAGAGGCAAGAGAGGCGAGTCAGGCGTGGGCTGGCCGTCGTGTTCGACCGTTGCAGCCGCCGGTGCCGCCACCGCCCTCGTGCGGTCGACATCACCGGTCAACGGGGTTGTGTCTACTGGGGCCGCCTTCGCCGGTAGGCCTGAAGCATAGGCCTCTTCCTCGAGGCCCAACCCCGAGCTTGTCCTCGAGGCAGCTGTCTCGCCAACCTGGGCTGCTGGTGGGGGCGTCGCAGCCGCCCCCGCATCAGGCACGCAAGAAAGGGCCGTCGAATTTTCCTCGGTCTCAGAAGCTGCACCAGCAGTGGCAAACGCGTGGTGATTGCGTCTGGACCTCACGAGAGCAACCCCATCATGGTACTCCCGAAGCGCCGCATCTACCACCGCCCAAAGGCGTTCCTCGAGAGCGGCAATCTCCTCCGCCCCTTCGTCGTCCTGCCCTGGGCTGACGGCTACCCCCCCCGCGGGGGGCACCGTAGGAGCACCCGCACCGTAGGCGGCCGCGCTGAAGGGACTACCAACTCCGAAGTGAGACGCCTTCCAAGCCGTCCCTCCTGGACCTGGTGTTCCCCCACCCAGCGACTCCTCATGTTGACCTTGCTCGACAAAAGGTGACGAAGCACCACCACTACCAGGTGGCGAACTCGGCGGGCCCAGCACTCTTACACTGCTCCCTCCACCGTTCCTGGAGGTGGGGTTTGCGGTGGCGGAAATCATCGGCGTTTGGCCACCCCTCCGCGGGGAGTACGCTGAGACGGCCTCTTCCACCCGCTCCGAAATCGAATCCACTCTATTGCCACAGGCGGCGAGAGGAGCGCCGTCGCGGCCCTGTTCATCCCCGGAGGACCCAGCGTTGACCGACGAGGTCGTCGTGGGGCTGACTACCCCGTGGGTAGCCAATACACGAGGGGTCGATGTCTCAGGGACCCGGCTGGCGCTGCTCTCTTCCGGGACGAAGACGCCGTGAGTTTCTGGAACACCGTGAGAAAAAGGTGGATGAATCGCTGCTGTTTCAAGACCCGAGTCGCCGTGAGGTTCTCGCAGCCTTGCTGAAAGGGGATGTGGCACAACCGCTTCGGGAGTACCATGGCTAGATGGTGACGAATCGAGGTTGACCTCGCCAGCGGCGCTCTCACGTATGGTCTCAACGCCGCCCCCAGCCACTACAGGAGCAGTCATGTCCTTCCACACCTCCAAATCTTCCACCTCTTGGACTTCACCGCGCACTAACGCTTCGGCCATGGCTTTCTCCTCCCCTGCACCATCCACCACCGCCGCTTCATTCGAAGAGACCAAAGTTTCGATTGCGGCGGCGTTCTTCGCCACCGCTGCTGTCACCCCCACATACAACCTTTCCCCTGAAGTTACCGTCCTTGGCGTTTCAGCCGCTGCTTCGGGCGACGCCTCCTGGGTAGTACCCTCTGTTATTGTCAGTACGTCAGCTTCTTCTCCCCCCGACACATCGTCTCGGGCCTCTCCCTCTCCTATCGCGACAACCGCACCACCACCGTCGATTTTCTTCGAAGGCGTGTCTCCGTTGTTGTCAACCCCCCACGAAGCGGCGCCAGGCGGAAGACTCTCCTTCGCCGCGGCCAACTCCCCCACAGTAACGCGGCTGGCCGCTGCGAAAGCATCGGTCGCCGGGTCTGCAACCAGCCCCTCTCCGTTACGCCGAGACTTGCTCGCCGCCTCCGCTCGCGTGGGTGAGATGCAGGCAACAGAAATGGCTGTGCCCTTCACTGACGACGACGCGCGCTTCTCCACTCCCGGCATCATACCATCGACGGCCGTCTCCCGGCAGGCAGAGGAAGAAGCAGCAGCAGCAGCAGCAGCAGCAGAAGCAGCAACAACAACCCTTCGCGCCGCCGCAAACTCCCGAACCCTGGACGCGCGAACATCGCGGACGTGTCTCAGGTACGGGACCTTGTACGCGCCCGGCTCGACAGGCTCGCCGGTCTCGCGGTCTTCGTAGCAAAAGCCGTCAGGGGCGGCCTTCCGCGACACGACCCCGGTTGCCGATTCAGCCTTGAGCTTCTCGTCCTTGGAGGCCTTGTCCATGAGATCGAAAAGCGGCTGGGGAAAGGGACGCGGTCGTTGGTTCGCGGTACGTAGGTTGCACGGAAAGAGGGGAGGGGGGCAAGGGGCAGAGAGTTTGGCGGTCCGATGTAAGTGATTGCATAATGCGGCACAACATGGGACAAAGGAATCGCCTGTACACAAGCAAGCCAAACGACGAAAAAATATATTATGTAATAGTAGGCATAGCTTGAAAGCGTTTCTTGTGTCGCTCAACCAGAGAGCATGCTTGTACTCGTGAACAGGTGCTATCCGCTAAGCTGTAGCAAGAACTTCAGACCATGGATTTCTGGCAGCCAATCCCACGTCCGTGACCACAGAGATAACGACGGAGGGCTGGTGCTGCTCAGGCCGGTTTCGACTGAAAAGACGAGGCTGCCCTACCACGTGAGCTACGCAATACTCTTTGGTACCCTTGAACGTGTTCGGTAAGGCGAACACAGCCGATCCAACAACCCTTGACAGCGGGTATCGTCGGTGACGAATATTATTACGTTGTCTGAGTATGCGACGCACCTAGATACACCTGACCAAGCTGCGACACGGCATCAACATGAATCAGCCTGATACCCTCGCGTGAGTTGGCCAGAGGTGGCCTCGTAGAACATTGGTGCTTTGGGGGCCGAACGCAAGACTCGGGGGAGATGAAAATAAAATGAAAGTGGAAATGCAGGTGGTGTACAGGAAACCGACGCAGCAGACAAGTGCCGCGACAGCCTTTCGGTGCAGACGGTCCTTGGCTGCGAACACAAAATCTTGATCACAAAATCTTGATCACAAAATCTTGATCCGCATTTTGCCACCACAAACGCTAGTCCGCTCCAGCTACCGTACGTAATGGTTGCAGACCAAGATATTGTAAAAAGGCAAACCCGACGAATAAAACGCCAACCCAAAACCTACGTCCCCCACCTTGATTCGCAGCACAAGCCCCCTCTTCTGCTCCTTCGACTCGCGGCGGACGGGCTGACTAACCAGCCTGGGCTCGTCACCCTCCAGCCCCCACTCCATGCTATCCCCCGCCGCCTCGCACAGAACCCGCGCATCCTCCGGGGCCACGGCGGACAAGGCGTACCCCGTCAGGCAGAACAGCCGCGCCGCGACGCGCCTCGCTCTCTGCGAGCCCGGGGCGGCCCCGTAGAACGCCCGAAAGAGCCGCTTCCTGGTGTCCTCATCCCCCACGGGCCAGCCGCGCTGGGCCGCGAGCGGGCGGGACAGGCAGGACACGACGTTGATCGAGGAGAGCGGGAGCTCGTCAGCCGGGGAATTGGTCGTGCTGGTGCTGCCTTGGCTTGGCTTGCCGTCGCCGTCTGCAGGTGTCGCTGCCGCGGTGGCCGTGCCATCACCCCCGGTGGCGGGCGGCGCGGGCGGCGGAGGCGGCATGTTTGGGGTTTCGGCCTCGGCGTGGTCTTCACCGAGATCGCTATCCATCAACGGTTGAGCTTCGCAGGGCATCACGATCGACCTGCGCCTGGAGCTGCGGGACCTGCTCTTCTTTGTCGCGGCAGCGAGCGGCGGCGGTGGCGGGACCCGCTTCTGTGTTTCTTCGCCATCGCCGGGCCGAGTTGCCGCCGCCGCTATCGCTGTAGAAAGACCCGACGCTTGCTCCTCCACGGCACCAACGACCTCTCCGTCCATGGTCCTGGGCGATCTCGTGGCGGTAGGAGCTCGAGCAGCAGGAACAGGGTTGGGTGGCTTGCTGGGCAAAACAGGTGCGAGGTTTTCCGCTTCCAGGCGTATGCGAGCATCTGCTCCCCCGAAAGTGGCGCGGCGACTACGACGCCCCCGTGCTACCGCTGCCGACGACGCCTGCCCCAGAGGGTCCTGTTTCCCTTCGCTTTTCTTCTTTGGAGCGGACGACGAGGAGGGCTTCGTCTCGTTGTTATTGAGGGTGCCCAGCGGCGACGGCCGCGAAGCCAGTGTTGTTCCCTCCTCGGCCTCGAACAAGTCGGCGACGGCCGTGGGGTCCGGTAGATCGGTGTCCGGGCTTGCCGTGCTTCCGCTAGGCGAAGCAGGAACGCTAATAGCGGCGGCGGAATCGGCACCAGGCGAAGTAACAGCAGCGTCGGTGTCCCGCTGAGGAGGAGGGCGAAGGATCGTCACCTCGGCTAATCCTCCTCCGAATTCTTGATCGTGGCTGCTAGGGCTCCTGCTCTTCTGATGATTGCTGCTGCCGCCGTCGTCACCGCCCGACGATGGGAGACTCGGATACTTCATGGGGTCGTTCAAGTCGACGTTGGACATGTAGTTGTGCTTGCCGATCGATGGGCTTAGAGTGCGTCGGCGAGTACGCCGCTTGCCGCCGCCGCGCCCTCGAGTTACGCCGCCACTATCTCCACCATAGGCGACCGCAACAACAGCAGAGTCGTCGATCCACGACGTGTCCAGCACTGGAGCGCCTCCGCCATTGGGTGCATTACTCTTGTCCTCCTCAGACGCCATCTGCACAATTCGGAGACGGATTGATGAAAGCAGGAAGGGTCACCTGCTGTAGTCGTTGCGCTGTGAATGGCAAAGGGATGTGAACGTTCTGCTGTGCTCGACCGCTGTTGTTGATAAAATCGCAAGGGTCGCTTGACGAACACACAAACGAAGTTTTTTCAACGGGAGATACCCCGGTGGTCTAGTGGGTAGCCTCGCAGCCTGCTAAGGGCCAGGTCATGGGTTCGAGTCCCGACAGAGTGAGTTTTTTCTCGCTAATTAAATCCTGATCTCCGTTGGAAGCGACGTGCTTCAAAGCTCGTTGTTAGTAAACTTGATCGACTTCATAAGTCGCGAGGGAAGGGATTGCTGTACCTTTTCGAAAAAAATATCTCAGGCAGGAACCGCAGGAAGGGGTCCAACCCCCCCCCCTGCTATGAGACCCCGGTTGGGTCGTCTAGCTGGCAGAAGTGGAGGATAGGGGCCAGAGATGCAGACGACAGAATCCAATGACGGGAGACAAAAAAAAAAACTATCGTGATGTGACCTACAGCTACAGTCATGCATTGAGCTCCCTCTCTCTCCCTCCCTCCCTCCCTCTCTCTCTCTCTCTCTCTCTCTCTCTCTCTCTGTATTCCCCGTTGATGTTCGGACGACGAATACAATAGCGCGCCACAGAGCACAGCAGCAAGGGCACTGCTGTAGACTACATACAAGCACTCGACGTCGCATCTGAATCCTGGGGCTTGGGGATCGCTCGACCAACAGCACAAATGTAACCCTGTGAATGACTTGCCTCTTCAGCAGGAGGTACCAGATTCTGCGTGCTGACGCCAGTAGAGTTCTTGCACACCCCAGGAGTCAAGCAACCCGTTGACACACGAAGCCGGAATTACTTGCCTCTTCAGCAGGAGGTACCAGATTCTGCGTGCTGACGCCAGCAGAGTTCTCGCACACCCCAGGAGTCAAGCAACCCGTTGACACACGAAGCCGCTCTTCGCACTGAAATGGCCAACCGTCGAATATCGAGGCGTTTTTCGTCGCAAAAATGCGACCCCGGTTCCCCGGTTTGCAAGTCTCGCCGCATCTCTGTGCGCGGACGCGGCGACAAGCGAAAGAGGTCTTGCTCCCAAGCTCTGCTTCCACCGGTTGCAAGGAGAGGATCATGGTGAGAGGTTGAAAATGTGGTTTTCTTTGCTGGGGAAGCTGTGGGACGTTCACAACACATGTTCGGTAGCCTGCTAACCCACTGATCGCCGTTGATATCGGGATGCGATGTTGCGGCTCGTGCAAGCAAGTCTGTACGCTAGAAGTCGAGACTATACAGCAGAGAATTGAGCAGGCAGCAGCAGCAGTATCCTACTGGCACATAGACAGCCTCATCAGTATCAACACCGTGAAGGACTCCAGATTTCGTTCGTGCTGGACCTGAACCGTACACGGCCGTAGAGTTGCGCGCGCCAAAAGCCTCGCAGCGAAAGCTACGCATTGACATCGTACCTGCACCTACAAGGGAGCAGCAGCATTCGCTACAACAGGGTTTGTGGGATGGAAACGGACCGACGAAAAGATTTGGGCAACCACCGTACCAATGTCTCCACATCATCGGCGCTGCAAAGTCACACTGGGCGTGCAACTCCCAGTACATTTGTGCCTATGATCTATGCATACCTTGACAAAGACCCCGGACACACGCCGCTCACGGAGAGCAGTGGCGTCGCTGCATTTTTCGTCCTCTTGTCGCTGCTGTAGTCTGTGAAGTCACGCGAACGTAACTATTTCTACTGCAGCTTCGTTGTCAACTTTTGCATAAATAACAGTGGTTGCAGCAATCGCAGATTTATTCGAGCGAAGCGAGATTTCTAATCCTGCCTGAGGAGACAGCGCAATATAGGCTCCATCCAGAAAAAAGAGTTTATGCAGTTTGTTCGCTTAATCTAGGTTTTAGAGTACATGATTTTAGACTACAGGGGTCAGCAGATGCACTTTTTTTTTTCGGAGCACACTGTCAGCGGATTGCAGCAGAGAACACACGCACTGCGGGCGATACCACACAGCAGACAGCGTGCGTACGCATAACAGGCGACACACACGCACAGCGGGCGACAGCATCTAGGCTCGATGCCGCAGGACTCTCTGTGGTGTGATGAGGCGATGTATTGCTCTGTCGCGCATGTTTTTTTTTACCGCCGCGTGCAACTGCCAGCAATGTGAGCACAGCATCACATTAGTTCTCGAAACCTAGGATGCCGATCGCCATTACACCACTTCGAGCGTGTGCTCCATTGCGGTGTCTCAGGGCGTGATAGTTGTGTTAGGCATGGGTGCTGTATGTCGCGTTAGCATCGTGGCGATGTGAAATCCGGTTTGGCCTTTTCGCCTGGCGATGCGGCCCGATTGCCCGGGCCAAAAAAAACTATGTGAATTCCACGCCGCCACGAAGGTCTTCCCACACACAGCACCCATGCCTAACACAACTGTCACGCCCCGAGATATCGCAATGGAGCACACGGTCGAAGTGGTGCCATAACGATTGGTGCGCTGGGTGACGAGAACTGACTTATGTCCTGCTGTTTCGCTGGCAGTTGGAGAAACACCGAACAAAAAAGAGGGACACAGGGGGTTCAGCCCTAGTATGCGGGGTGTTTGTATGACCACGAAAGTGGGATGTGGACGGGGGGGGGGTGTACTCATAGTCGTGCATGCCGTAGTCGTTAGACCATTGACGTCGCATCCCTTCAAAGCCGGGACGGAGCACGCCGGGATCTCACCGGACCAGGCTCTCACATCACCAAGCGCGAAGCGCCGTGAGATATTCGGCGAGTCGCATGAAGGGTGCGCTGCATCCTGCTAAGGGTTTTCGGCATCTTGTGCTTACTTTCTTGCGTACGGATGACAGCTGCGTATGACTTAATTTACTTTCTGTTGCTTTCACTTCCAGGGACAGTTGTAAGCACTGTACTGCCTCGGGGGTGCTTGACCATTTTAACACAACGTGGTGCGATCATCCCCCTTGCGCAGTGTGAGGGATCTCGACCCCGCACAACATGATCTACTCGACCACCATCATCGTTACCGCANGGACAGTTGTAAGCACTGTACTGCCTCGGGGGTGCTTGACCATTTTAACACAACGTGGTGCGATCATCCCCCTTGCGCAGTGTGAGGGATCTCGACCCCGCACAACATGATCTACTCGACCACCATCATCGTTACCGCCAAAAAAAAAACAGAGGTAAAAAAAAAGCAGTAACCTGGTTGCAGAATTCACAAAGTGACTTGGCTTGTTTTTACAACGTCGTTGCCAAGCGACGAAAACCCAATCCCGATGGCAAA